CAGATAGCACTGTTACTGCTGCAGTATCCATGCAATAGATGAAAATAAAGATGATCTGAATGAGGCTAATAATCCCATGTTCAATTTATTATATGTCACAATGAAATAATAAAGCTGCCCTTAAGATGCTGGATTTAAAGGCCAAGTCCCAAACTTTGGGTTTTAGGTCACAATTTAATCTATGCAGTCCGTGCCTGATACTTGCTGCCGTGTGTCTTTCTCCTTTATATCCAGACTCCTCTAGATGTTCATAAAAAGAAGTCCACACCAAATACTGGCATTTGTAGGCACAAAAGGTATAGGAAAAGTTGCCTTTAACCATCTTTTTCTTCCTTTCCTCTCCTTTTCCTCCCTCCCTCCTTCACTCCCTCCCTCCCTTCCTTTCTTCCCTTTCTTCCTTTTTTTTTTTGGACTGAGTTTCACTCTTCTTGCCCAGGCTGGAGTGCAATGGTGCGATCTTGGCTCACTGCAGCCTCTACCTCCCAGGTTCAAGTGATTCTCCTGCCTCAGCCTCCCGAGTAGCTGGGATTACAGGCCACCACCATGTCTGGCTAATTTTTGTATTTTAAGTAGACAGGATTTCACCATGTTGGCCAGACTGATCTTGAACTCCTCACCTCAGGTATCCTGCCCACCTTGGCCTCCCAAAGTGCTGGGATTACAGGCGTGAGCTACCACGCCCACCTTTACCTTCCTTTTCTCATGCAGCTTATCAAGAAGGGTCTATCAAAGCATTTGAGTCAGCGACGTGTAGATATTTTGGAGAGAGAAGCAAGCACATCTCATGGAAGAGACTTATTCCCTAAAGACAAGTGCCCATTAGAGATGACAGCTGCTTGTCAAGTAAGACACATTCTGGAGAGCTGCCACCTCAACAGCTTGTATTAAGCACCAAATAAATGTAGCACTCGTGGAGTATAGAAGATAGAATTCTCACCAAGGTCTGAGGTTGGTATAGAAAGATCCCTGATGTGGAGAGCCTCAGATTGGTCTGGAAGGCAGAGTTTATAACTTAGAAAAGAGAAGGAAGAGATAAGTGAAGCAAGGGAAGAAAAGCATAGAGTCAAGAACAAGGATTAGGAGTATTTGATTAGAACTAAGTTTCTATAAGAAAATTGAGATAAATTTGGGAAACAAGAAGCAATAAAGATGTGGTTTAAACACAATCATTTACTTTGTTCCTTTCCAAACCTCACTAAAGTGACAGTAACAGGGTTTTTGTTTTAAGAAGTGAACTTACAAAGACAGAAAATGGTAAAGGAAAACAGGTAGTGGCCAGTTTTGGAAATTGGAAAGCAGATGGACAAGTATAAACTGATTTATCAAACACCAGAAAGTTGAGTCCTAAATTGGCAACGAGGAAAGCCAAGAAACAACACAATTGTCTCTACAGAATCCAAAAGGCTTAGGATGTCATGGCATTGGGTACCTCTGGGAGTGACAGTTAAAATGAGGCTAAGGAGAATTTGTTGAAAGTCTGTCTAACAAAATAGAGCCCTAGGTTCCCACCCTCCTCTAAGCAGCTGGATAAACTGTGTCTCTTACACCCTGGCAGAAGACTGAGCTTCATTTTCTAGAGTAGGAAAAAAAGGTGGCCTCTGGAGTGGGAATTTCCAGATACTTTTGAGAGTGTGGTTGTCATAGGGAAAATAAGTTGATAAAGTGAACTGTACAAGTAGGGTACTTTTAGAAATGTGTAGCCTCTTTTGCCATTTGGTAGGAAAGTCAGACCTGTACCCTCCAGGAGAAAGATTGAGGCATCTTTTGTGTTGAGTATGACCAGCTCTAGAAATACCAGTGTTACGAGTTCACCTAGGAAACAGCCCAGTTAGAATATCATGCAGGGAAGCATAATCAATAAAACCATTCATGTACCCTGAGCTTCTAATCTGCCTTTTTTTGTGCTGTACTTTTATATATAAGGCAATTACTAAAGGTCAGCAGACATTGAGGAAAGCCTTAGGTGAAAGCAAAAAAAAGAAAGATAAAATGGACAAAAGGCGATTTCAAAGAAACAGACCATGCAGGGAGAAAAACAAAATAGAATTTCAAAAACCATTGAGATTTTAGTATTGAGAGATAAAAGAAGAAATGCTCCCATGAAGCAAGAATAAGACAGTAAGAAAGAAAGGAATGTACATACATGCAGAAACTCTCAGGTAACAGAAATGATCTCTGGAAATTAAAAATTTGGAGAAATGAAAAAGACAAAGAGAAAGGAAGTTTAGAGATACAGATGAAGAAATTTTTTAGAAAATAAAATGCAGTGATAAAGCAATAGAAAATTTCGGGGAGGGGAAAACAAAGAAGTAAAAATTAAAGGTCTAATTCATGAGAGGTTCAATATCCAAATAAGAGGAGTTAATATACAGATGAAAAGGAGTAGAGGAAATCAAAGAAAGAACTAAAAAAAAAAAAAAAAAAAATCCTGAAATTAAAGAACTTCATTTTTGAGACTGATAAAATTTAAGAATATGGGTTCAAAAAAAGCTTCTATAAACGTTGATAGAGAGAGAGAAACAACCTAAAATAAACAACACACACAATGAACAGGTCATCTGTAAAGAACCAAGAATCATATTCATATCCTCTTCATACTCATGCTCACACCAATACCCACACAATAATTTCAAAAGTTAATAACTATTCTCTCCAAAATACAGATTAAAAGTATAATTAAAGTCAGAATTAAAGGTGCAATTAGCATATACAAAGAAAAAAACTATGATAATATCTCCATCTAGATGAAGGAATATTATAACTTTCTAAACATGAAAAGCACGAAAAATATTACAAAGGAAAATGAAACATTGTATGTCAAAAACATTTTTGTTAAATAAATTTAAAGAAATACAAGTTAAATGACAAACTGGCAAAAAATAACATCTAACAAAAGGGTTTAATATGTATTGATTAATAAATATTGATGTAATTAATATGTAAAATGTTTATATAAGTAGGTAAGAAAATACCCTGGGACCCGATTAGAAAAAAACGGTCAAAGGATGTGAACCAATACGTAAGATGAAATCCAAAAGACTAATATTTATGAAAAAAATCAAAATCAACCTTAGTGGTAGTCCAAGAAATGTAAATTAAAAGTTGACCTAACTTTTTAACTACCAAAATTAGTAAAATATATATTTTTTCTAAGTAAAGTTGGCCAGTGTTCAGGATGTAAAATATGTTTTTTCTTTAAAGTTTTGGCAACATGTATTAAAGATCTTAAAATATTTAAATTTTATAATAAGGTAATTTCGTTTTTAAGTATCTTAATCTAAGAAATTTCATTCAACCAATATTTTACAGGAGAAATGAATTTCTAAACTTCCTTTCTCTTTGTCTTTTTCATTTCTCCAAATTTTTATGTTTTAGATACTGAAATACGGACTACATATTTAAGTAAAAGTGATTCGTAATAATCGTGGAAAAGTGAAAACAAAATAGCTGTCCAATAATAGAGGAAAAGTTTAATCACTTGTCTATATAGAGTAGAATTTTTTCAGTTATCAAATATATTATGCTTATAAATTATTTTAAATAAGTAGTAGATTTTCTAACTGAGACAAAAATTCGATTAAACATAGCATTTAGATATTGACTATCAGAAGAAACAATGGCTGATATCTGAGGCATTTGGTCAACAATCCCCCACTTGAAGTAATAGATTTGAAATACATAAGCAGCAAGAAAGACAAACAGGCTCTCCTATTGTCCTACAGTTTGGGAAAGGGCTGTAGTGAAAAGGACTTTAAACTTACTCAGCTTCACTTCTTAACTTCCCCAGTTTAACACCCCCCAACACACACACACAGCAAGAAGCTTAGGAGGCATTATTTCTAAAAGACCCAAAGAAAGACTTTCTAATTTCCAGAAATCCATTAATTTTAAGGGATCAAGTATTATTTTTTAAATTATTCTGATAAGAAGAAAATACTTTTCTTTGGTTGTCAGAACTGTCAAGTTTTCTTAGATGATGAATTCTGCCTTATTGTGATTACTGTGGGTAAGGGCAAAATAGAAGAGTATCAAGTGACAGTGTAATTATTCTCTACTGGTAGCTATGGCTCCAGTTGAAAGAAGCAAGAAGTAGTCTCACAACAAAAGCAACCACTGAAGACTCATAGAGAAGTGACTCATTTGGCTAGAACACTGAAGGATCACTCTGTCATTGTACCCGGCAAATTCTAAGCAGTTATTTTTTTTTTTGGAGCACAGTCACACTTACACATTGTAGTATTTCCTTTTGATATGCAACATCTGAAGACTCTATGTATAAGAAGACATTGCATCATTCTTCCTAGAATCCTTAGAAATGTAGAAAAGAAATAATGTAGTTTATAAAACAGATACAAAGTGCTCGATCCAAAGCTTATTTTACTTGTATATTCAAAAAGAAATACGGATTTGTGTGATTTTTCATAGTCAGCATTTTGTTATTTCTTGAGGGAGAGACCCTCAGCATGGTATTTAAGTTTCTGATATTTAATTATCCTTCTACATTGTCTCACTTTTCTCTTTTCATTTCTTTAGAGCAAGTTTTCTAATAGAAAGAATGAAATATTTTATTTTATATTCCAAAAATATAAAGAATTCATAATAAAATCATTGTCAAATAATTTTTAAGATTAAAAAATTGGGGCCGGGTGCGGTGGCTCAAGCCTGTAATCCCAGCACTTTGGGAGGCTGAGGCGGGTGGATCACGAGGTCAGAAGATCGAGACCATCCTGGCTACCTGGTGAAACCCCGTCTCTACTAAAAAATACAAAAAACTAGCCGGGCGAGGTGGCGGGCGCCTGTAGTCCCAGCTACTCGGGAGGCTGAGGCAGGAGAATGGCGGGAACGCGGGAGGCGGAGCTTGCAGTGAGCCGAGATCGCACCACTGCACTCTAGCCTGGGCGACAGAGCGAGACTCTGTCTCAAAAAAAAAAAAAAAAGTTGGGATGAGATTGGGAGACTATCATATGATACAGGTAATCTTGTCACTTGTACATCCTCAGTGTCTCGCTTGAGTAGTGACAACTTTAAGTAGGAGAGGAAGACAAGCTGGATCCTTGGGTTCTTCTATAAGGAAGATAAAGAGAGCACACCCTGTGGTGTCTAGATGTCCTTGGGGCTTCACTGTAGACTATCATTGGACCCTCTGACAGGTACTGACCATATGTCTGGGAAAAGGGAGATGTAATATTCAATGGTGACTATGTAGCACAATATTGCCCTTGGTAGAAATAAAGACATATAAAGGAGTAACTTAGTTTCAGGAGAAAGATCATCAATTTGTATTAAACCAGTTGACTTTCATGGGCTCAGTGGGCCATCCAAGATGGAGAAGGAAAGCAGAAGCTTAGGAGAGAGTCAGTTACTGGAGAAAGCTATGACAATAAATAACATGTTTAAAGAGAAACTGCGTGGTACTAACGGAAGCCCTGAACATAAATAGGAAATTTTAAGAAATATAGATTACTACACTTGATCTTAGCCAAAAGGCCAAGAAGCAATTCAAACACAGATTACTTTGCCTCCTTTTCATCTTTATATAAATGGAATTATGTAATAGGTATTCTTTTGAGTCTTGATAATTTTACTCAATATTGATCTTTAAAACTGCATTTTCATGTGACTTTTTTTTATCTTCATTGCTAGATGGTATTCTGTTGTGTGAATATACTGCAGTCTACCTATTCATTCCATGCTGATGGACATTTGGGTTGTTTACACTGTTTGGCTACCAAAAACAATGTTGTTATGAATATTATTGGATGTGACTTTCAGCTCACAACCATACACATTTCCTAAGCATGTGGAACAGTTGGATCACAGCACATGTGTATGTTCAGTTTTAGAAGATACTGTTCAAACAGTTTTCCAAAGTGATTATAGTGCTTCATATTCTCTGTAGTAGGGTATGACAATTCCCACTGTTCCACATCCACACCACCACTTGATTTATCAATCTTATAAAATTTTAGCCTCTCTTTTTAATATTAGTATTCTATTCGGGTATTTAATTTGTGGATGCCTAATACTTTTTTCCAAATATAAATTTTTAATCTCTGTGTATTCTTTCTTTTAGATTTCGTTCTAAACACTGAAGACATACTCTGCTACATTTGGGTCACACCCCCAGCTCTAAGTAATTTAATAGACTTTAAGAAGACAGAGCCCGGCAGCAACTGAAACATAACAGAGTTGCAGGGTCAGCTAACATTAATGCCTGGGCAAAGCTGTTGCCCAGAGTGGAATCTCACTAGTGAATAAACAAGCCCGAGAAAAATTATCATCTCATTTGCAAAAAAAAGTAGGCTGGTAGACCCTCCTACCTCATAGATACACCAACCCAATTTTTTTAAAAGTAGCATTTTCCTACATTGTCAACTATCTGGAACATACCTAAACACTGGGAGTTTACTGCTTATTAAATGGAAACTATGAAGTCTAAGGCCAACTATGGCCAGAATCCAAATTGTAACATAATGATATTTCATCCAACCAAAGAAGAGTTTAATGATTTTGATAAATATATTGCTTACATGGAATCCCAAGGTGCACACAGAGCTGGCTTGGCTAAGATAGTTCCACCCAAAGAATGGAAAGCCAGAGAGACCTATGATAACATCAGTGAAATCTTAATAGCCACTCCCCTCCAACAGGTGGCCTCTGGGCGGGCAGGGGTGTTTACTCAATACCATAAAAAAAAGAAAGCCATGACCGTGGGGGAGTATCGCCACTTGGCAAACAGTAAAAAATATCAAACTCCACCACACCAGAATTTCGAAGATTTGGAGCGAAAATACTGGAAGAACCGCATCTATAATTCACCAATTTATGGTGCTGACATCAGTGGCTCCTTGTTTGATGAAAACACTAAACAGTGGAATCTTGGGCACCTGGGAACAATTCAGGACCTGTTGGAAAAGGAATGTGGGGTTGTCATAGAAGGCGTTAACACACCCTACTTGTACTTTGGCATGTGGAAGACCACATTTGCTTGGCACACGGAGGACATGGACCTTTACAGCATCAACTACCTGCACCTCGGGGAGCCCAAAACTTGGTATGTGGTGCCCCCAGAGCATGGCCAGCGCCTGGAACGCCTGGCCAGGGAGCTCTTCCCAGGCAGTTCCCGGGGCTGTGGGGCCTTCCTGCGGCACAAGGTGGCCCTCATCTCGCCTACAGTTCTCAAGGAAAATGGGATCCCCTTCAATCGCATAACTCAGGAGGCTGGAGAGTTCATGGTGACCTTTCCCTATGGCTACCATGCTGGCTTCAACCATGGTTTCAACTGTGCAGAGGCCATCAATTTTGCCACTCCACGATGGATTGATTATGGCAAAATGGCCTCCCAGTGTAGCTGTGGGGAGGCCAGGGTGACCTTTTCCATGGACGCCTTCGTGCGCATCCTGCAACCTGAGCGCTATGAGCTGTGGAAACGTGGGCAAGACCGGGCAGTTGTGGACCACATGGAGCCCAGGGTACCAGCCAGCCAAGAGCTGAGCACCCAGAAGGAGGTCCAGTTGCCCAGGAGAGCAGCGCTGGGCCTGAGACAACTCCCTCCTCACTGGGCCCGGCATTCCCCTTGGCCTCTGGCTGCCCGCAGTGGGACGCGCTGCCACACCCTTGTGTGCTCTTCACTCCCACGCCGATCTGCAGTTAGTGGCACTGCTACGCAGCCCCGGGCTGCTGCCGTCCACAGCTCTAGGAAGCCCAGCTCAACTCCATCATCCACCCCTGGTCCATCTGCACAGATTATCCACCCGTCAAATGGCAGACGTGGACGTGGTCGCCGTCCTCAGAAACTGAGAGCTCAGGAGCTGACCCTCCAGACTCCAGCCAAGAGGCTCCTCTTAGCGGGCACAACATGCACAGTTTCAGGCCCAGAACCTGAGCCCCTACCTGAGGGTGGGGCTTTGATGGACAAGCCTGTACCACTGAATCCAGGGCTCCAGCATCCTGTAAAGGCTTCTAGGTGCAGCTGGGCCCCTGTGCCCTAAGCCCACGGGCTGCCTTTATATCCCACTGCCCTGCTGTGTGGCAGTTTGATGAAACTGGTTACATTTACATCCCAAAACTTTGAGTTTGCAGGACTCTGGTCATGCATGAAAGAGCCCCTCTGGTGATGCCCTTGGATGCTGCCAAGTCCATGATAGTTTTCAATTTTGCAATACTTTGTTCTTCCTACTGGACCCTGGAATGTGTTTGGATATTGCTAAAATCTATTTCTGCAGCTGAGGTTTTATCCACTGGACACATTTGTATCTGAGAACTAGATCTTGTTGAGGTTAGCATAACCTGGTATATGCAACTACCATCCTCTGGGCCAACAGTGGAAGCTGCTGCACTTGTGAAGAATCCTGAGCTTTGATTCCTTTTCAATCTACCCATTTGTCTCTTCCCCTCCCCTACCCCCTTTTTCTTATAAAACTAGGTTCTTTTTACAGATAAGGTCAGTAGAGTTCCAGAATAAAAGATACGACTTTTCTGAGTTATTTATGTACTTAAAATATGTTGTCACCAGTATTTGTTCCCAAATATATTAAAGGTAATCAAAATGTTAAAATCTGATTTTATTTCAAATATCGTGTTTTCAACCTGTGTGTTTACGTGTGTGTGTGTGTAGATAATTCTTTATGTACTTCATGATTATTTGAAAACATGTCATTGTGTGGTGGTGAATGAGCTCAGGGGATGGTTGTCGCATTATGGCTGTCCAGCTGAGTAGCGGGGCTGGGTTGCATTCATGCTTCAGGGATGGTGGATTAGTCCGTTCTTGCATTGCTATAAAGGAACACCTGAAACTGAGTAATTTATAAATAAAAGAGGTTTAATTCCCTCACAGTTTCACAGGCTATACAGGAAGCATGATGCTGGCATCTGCTCAGCTTCTAGGGAAGCCTTAGGAAACTTAGAATCATGGGTGAAGGGGAAGCAGGCATTTCATGTGGTTGGAGCAGGAGAAAGAGAGAGGGGGATGGTGCCACACACTTTAAATGACCAGATCTCATGAGACCTCACTCACTATTGCAAGGATAGTACCAAGAGGGATGATGCTAAACCATTCATGAGAAACCCAATCCCATGATCCATGTACCTCCAACCAGGCCTCACCTCCAGCACTGGGGATTACAATTTGACATGTGATTTTGTTGGGACACAAACCCAAACCATGTAAGATGGCTTGATAGGGTCAACCTGGTGCTTAGCTAAATAGCAGGACCCAAGTTTCTGGGAAAGATGAGCAGCCCTAAGATAAAAGTACCATTATCTAACTAGTTTTTCTCACAGGCTCCACTGCCTTTTCAAAGCTGTGTGTATATTTCACACTGGTAACTCACCTACTCAGCCCAGTAAACAAGTCTCCAAACAAGTGAACAAGACCATTTCAACTAGTAATGTGTACTGTGTAGAAATTAAAGCAGAATTGAATGGCAGAGCAGAATGAGTAGGTGCTGGCCCAGTTGCTGGTCCCAGAAGGCTTCACAGAGGTGGAGACCTTTCTGAGACCCAATTGACAAAATGAGAAGATCCAGAGCAGAGTTTTCCACCTGTAGGGAACAGTAAGTGCAATAGACCTACCTTGGAACTTGGGGATCTTGTTTTTCCAGGAATGCAAGATAAGCTCATTTGTTTCTGGGGCATAGAGAGGAAGGAGAGAGGCGGGGGCAAAGCATGTAGGGCCTTGTGTCTCACGTTAAATACATTATTTGATATTCTTCAACTTGAGAAGGCACTGGAAGTTTAAAACAGCAGTTGATAAAATGTGACTTACACATTAAATAATCAGCTTAGTTCTGTGGAGAATGTATAGACAAGAGAAGCAGTTAGGCCATCTAAGTAATAATACAAGTGACAGTGATGGTTACTTAGACTTCTGTTTCCGTATTGAAAATGTACACAAGTTAACTTGTAAATGGCTTTTATCACATTGAGGTGCTTTTTTAATACCTAATATGTTGACAGTTTTTAATCATGAAAAAGTGTTGAATTTTGTCAAATGCTTTTTCTGCATGTATTGTGATCATATGATCCCAATATAATATATAGTGTAGCACACTGTGTATCATATAGTGTATCAATTAACATATAGTATATCACATTGATTTGCATATGTTGATTCATTTAATGTTCTGTGAAATTCAGTTTGGCATTATTGCATCTATGTTCATCAGGAATATTAGCCTGTGATTTTCTTTTCTTGTTGCATCCTTGTCTGGCTTTGATATCGTGGTGGTGCTGGTCTTGCAAAATGAGTTTGAAAGTATTCTCTTAAATTGTTTGGAAGTGTTTGAGGAGAATTTTTCTTAATTATTCTTTAAAACTTAGGAAGAAGTTATCATTGAAGACATTAGGTAATATGCTTTTATTCAATAGGAAACTTTTTTATTACTCATTTAATTTACTTATTAGTTATTGGTCTGTTCACATATTTTGTGTCTTCATGATTCAGTTTTAATAGGTTGTATGTTTCTAGGAATTTATGCATTTCTTCTAAGTTACCCAATTTGTTATATAATTGTTCATGGTAGTGTATTATCCTTTGTATTTCTGTGGTGTCAGTTGTAATGACCCTTATTTATAATTTCATTTTTGCCTCTTCTCTCTTTTTTTCTGTATCTGACTGAAGGTTTGTCAATTGTGTTGTCTTTTAAAAAAACCAGCTCTTAATTTCATTGATCTTTTCTATTGATTTTCTAGTCTTTATTTCATTTACTTCTGCTCTGATCTTTATTAGTTTTTTAATCTGATGGCTTTAAGCTTAGTTTTTTTTCCCTAGTTCCTTGAGGTATAACATTAGATTATTAGAGATCTTGCACTTTTCCTAATGTAGGTGTTTATCAATTAAGCTTCTCTCTTAGAACTGCTTTTGCTGTAACTCCTAAGTTTTGTATGTTATATGTTCATTTTCATTTCTCTCAAGATATTTTTTGAATTTCCTTTGATTTATTCTTTGACCTGTTCAAGATCGTGTTGTTTAATTTTCACATAATTTTAAAATTTCCAATTTTCTTTCTGTTACTTCTTTCTAAGTTTATATCATTGTGGTCAGAAAAGATGCTTGACATGATTTAATCTTCTTACATTTGTTAAGATTTGTTATGTGGCCTAACGTGATCTATCCTGGAAAATGTTCCTTGCTGTTAGATGAAATGTTTTGTATATGTTTGACAGGTCCATTTGGTCTATAGTGCTGTTCAGGTCCTCTGCTTCCTTATTGATTATGTTTGGGTGATATATCTTTGGTTGAAATTGGGGTAATTAAGTCCCCTAATATTATTATTGTATTGCTATATACATGTATATACACATATGTATGTATAAATAGTAAATATTAAAAGAACTGTGGGATATATATATTATTGTGTTGCTATATATATGCATATATACATATATTTGCTTTATATATATAAAGTAGGTGCTCTGATGTTGGGTGCATATATATGTACAATTGTTATATCCCTCAGTTCTGTTAATATTTGCTTTATATATGTATATATATATAAAGTAGGTGCTCTGATATTGGGCACACATGTATTTACAACTGTTATATTTTCCTGATGAATTGACTACTTTGTCATTATATAATGACCTTGTCTCTTGTGATAGTTTTCTTAAGTTCTATTTTATCTGATGTAAGTGTAGCTACCTCTGCTCTCTTTTAGTTACTGCTTGCATGGAGTATCTTTTCTTCATCTCTGCACTTTCAGCCTATGTAGATCCTTAAAGGTAAAGCCTCTGCACTTTCAGCCTATGTAGATCCTTAAAGGTAAAGTGAGTCTCTTGTAGGCAGCATATAATTGGATCCCATTTGTTTAAAACCTATTTAGCCACTCAGTGTCTATTCATTGGGGAATTTAATCCATTACAGTTAATAATATATGATAAGTCCAAGCTCATATCATACTCAAAGGTGAAAAGCTAAAAGCTTTTTCTATAAGATAAGGAACAAGACAAGGATTCCCACTCTTACCAATTCTTAGTTAAAAAAGAAAGAAAAGGCATCCAGACTGGAAAGGAAGTAATGAAATTGTATCTGTTGGATCTTACCAAAATCAACATACAAAAATCAGTAGCATTTCTACACACTTAGAACCAACAATGCAAAAAAAGAAACAATTTCATTTACAATAGCATTAAAGACTAAAACATAACTAGGAATAAATTTAAGGAGGAAAAAGATCTAGACAGTGAAAACTGTAAAACATTGAAGAAATTAAAGAACACAAATTAATGGAAACGTATCCTGTTTTCATATGTTAGAAAAATTAATATTGTTAAAAGTTCTATATTAACCAAGTAATCTATGGATTCAATGCAATCCCTATCAAAATTACAGTGGCATTTTTTATAGAAATAGAGAAATACATCTTTACATTTGCATGGAAACACAAAAGACTCCAAATAGCCAAAGAAATCTGGAGCCAAAAAACACAAAGCTGGAGGCATCACAGTACCTTACTGCAAAGTCTACTACAAATCTGTAGTATCAAAACAGCATGGCAGTGGCATATAAACAGACACATAGACCAGTGGAACAGCATAATGAGCCAAGAAGTAAACCCATGCATTTATGGTCACTTGATCTTTGTTAAAGATACCAAGAACACACAATGGGGAAAGGACAATCTCTTCAGTAAATGATTCTAGGAAAACTGGATAATCCACATGGGGAAGAATGAAATTAAATCCTCATCTCACACCATATACAAATATCAACCCTAAATAGTTAAAAGAATTAAAACATAATACCAGAAGCTGTAAAACTACTAGAAGAAAACAGGGAAAAAACATCCTTTTTTGGTGTGGTGCAGATTTTTTATTTGATTTATTTATATTTTTAAATTTTTAATTTCCATAGGTAATTGGGGAACAGGTGGTGGTTGGTTACATGAGTAAGTTCTTTAGTGGTGATTTGTGAGATTTTGGTGCACCCATCACTCAAGCAGTATACACTGCACCCAATTTGTAGTCTTTTATTCCTCACCCCCTTCCCACCCTTTCCCCTTGAGTCCCCAACATCCATTGTGTCATTCTTGTGCCTTTGCATTCTCACAGCTTAGCTCTCACTTATGAGTGAGAACATATGATGCTTGGTTTCCCATTCCTGAGTTATTCACTTAGAATAATAGTCTCTAATCCCATCCAGGTTGTTGTGAATGCTGTTAACTCATTCCTTTTTATGGGTGAGTAGTATTCCGTTATGTATATATATACCACCATTTGTTTATCCACTTATTGATTGATGGGCATTTGGGTTGGTTCCACATTGCAACTGCAATTTGTGCTGCTATAAATGTGCATGTAAGATCTGAATAGATGTTTGTTCAAAGAAAACATTAAAATAGCCAACAAGTATATTAAAAGGTGCCCAGCATCATTAATCAGGGAAATGCAAATCAAACTACTTTAAGATACCACTTCACACCTGTTAGGATGGCTATTATCAAAAAGTCAAAAAAGACAGCAAATGTTGACAACGGTATGGAGAAAAGGGAACTCTTATACACTGTTGGTGGGAATATAGATTGGTACAGTCATTACACGAAAAGTATGAAGATTTCC